AAAAACAAAAATCTTCATTTTGAAGTTATTCATTTGGTATTTTAAAGTTATGTATTAGATTTAAACTTACTAAAATTAATCTGCAAGTATCCTAACAGTATAAATTATACCCACAAAACTGAATGAAATCTTGGCAAAAGATAGATCGATCTCTGTGTAACAGAAAGACTGGCAGTGGCAGTAACATCCAGGTAATAAATATGCTCAGCTTGAAACTCAAAATTCAGTTTACTGCTTTGGACTGTCGTTACCCAGGTTGGCAAATTTATGAAATCGTTTTCTTCTACTTAGTTACGGACATTCTAGAGAATCATATTCTTAAAGAACAAGTTACCTTAGAGTAAAATTGAAGGAATTTGAATAAGAAAGAGAAAAATCAATGTATATAAATTCCAATTGTACACAATGTAAGCTATCTTCAGAATTGTTCCAATCCCTGTCCTTAGTTTTAAAGGTATAAGATGTTGAAATATTACTGATTCAATTATGAAAAAACAATAGAACATTAGATAGTATGTGACAATAGCCTTCAGCTGATTAGAAAATAACAGGATTTTTTTTCCCCAAAGTATCAGGAACCCTTAGAAATTATATCCTACCACCTTTTATATCTTGAAGGAAATGCTGTAACTATATAAAAATATTTGCTCTATATTGATTTTCAAATATTTCTAAATACCAAAATTCTAAGTGTGTATCTCCCCTTTGTAATAGGTAAGTAAAATAGAGATCATATCATTGTTATCTATCAACGAAAAATGTCATCAATCAATCTTAAGTTTACTGACCTGTCCCGATCGTCATGTCTTCTTTGTAATTATCATAGGCATTGTAATCACGTAAATCTAAAACATGTGCCTCCAGAGTAAAATGATTGCTATCTTATTTTCTCTCTGTGCTCATTACTGTAGAAGGAGAAATTCCTAGCTGCACTCTTTTGTAGTGCTTCTGTGGACACTCATCTAACTAATTAATTACATATTATCTGTACAGAAGGTGTATTTAATCCCCAATATATCCAAATGCTTGTACAATTATACAAGGTTATAATGGTGTTTTATTGTGTTTAAGGTATACTAAAAACCTAGTATCAGAAGAATAACATTAAAAAAAAAGTGATCTTTTGCTTTCTCTCTCACAGAAGGCTGCATCCATGAAAAAAAAAAAAAAACAAAACCCCTGAAGAGTGTCAACAATTATTAGCTTTGGTTATTTCACATGCTACTATCTACCTCTTATTAACCACTTCCCATTGCATTTTCACTGCTAGTGAGTATAGATAAATTCCTGAGCTCTCTACTTCCCTTTGTCTTCATAGGCCTAAGTAAATCGATTCCACATACTTTGTGCTGTAACTTACAATTCAAACAACAAAAACAAAACTCCAGCTTTATTTATGGAGAAGGATCTTTTGAAATCTTGATTTCAGAGTCTAATAGCATAACAGACTTTTTTTTTTAAATGGAAAGTCATGCTGTATGTGATGTTTTTCTGAGATGTGCTTGCATTCAATGGGGGAAGGAGGAGAGGAAGCACAGAAAAAGGAAAGAAAAATGAACTGAGTGAAAAAAATTCTATGATTAGCAGAGAGTGAAAAATAGAATAGCATTAGACCTATTGCTTTTGGAAGATACGATGGTGTTTTAAATTAAGTGTTAATTTTCCTCAGTACTTAGGTTGGCATGAGTTTGCCAGTCAGAGACTCTGATGGGCAAATAATAAAACTTACAGAATACTTGGTTAATGTTACTTTGTGTCCATCTAGAAAAGCCTTTCTTTCCTCAGAAGTTTAATGTGGCAGCTGTATTATTCAGGAGAAGGAAAAATTTCTTCTAAATATTTGTCTTATTTTTATGGTCTCGATGTGCTGCTTTAGTTTAAAAATACTGAATGTGAACGCTGACTTGAAAACCCACTGCATGTTCCCTTAATCATTCTTGTGGGAATTGATACTTCTGAGTTGCTAGCTTTCCTAGTCCTATCTCTTGAAAATTTTCCCCAAGGACATAGATAGTTAAAGCTTTTTGTCCAGCTGTCTTTAACTTTAGCTTTCTCTGGCGCACATCTATCTGTGTGCGTAGAAGCATGGTAGTGCCTCAAATCACAAGTATTTCTGATGGTGGCTCTTACAGTATATATCTCAGAGACAGGTCAGTTACTCTGTTTGCTGGTGAAAAATAAGGCCTGTTGTCAGTGTTTTCTTTAGTTTTCTTAAGATATGCCAAAAACCTACAAAATTAATCATTTTCTTTCAAACTTTTCTAGCCAAGGAGAATTATTCTCTTTCCTTCCTTCTTGGTGTCTGTCTTTGTATAGGAGAGCAAAAAAAAAAAAAAAAGAAAAAGACAAAGAAGCCATTTTTAGATTTACTTTGTCTTATTCTTTAATCCAAAATGTTGAAGAAATTACATGTGACTTAATGAAAAATAAAATCATAAAAAGCATGCCCATACATACATACAGAAATATGCCTACAGAAAAATACAAGAGAAATAGAATTGTATGCTACCAATATGCATAGTATAACCTAAAACAAAAAGGGAGTAAGAGGGAACATGTTATGGCTATTACATTCATTTTGTTCTTTGTTCATCTTCAGTTAAAAATGAAATGTATGTGAATAAATTAAACATTTACGGATAATAGCAATTGATAGTTAGCCAAAAGTTATAAATCATAAATGTGTCTTAAGTCAGTGTTCTGCATAAAATAAATCTTTAAAAATTTTTTTAGAAATGACTAAATACAAACATCTGCAACTCTTCACTCTTCTTTCTTATTAGAACGTTTCCTATTAAATGAATAGTAGATACTGATTTCTTCTTGCTCACTTATAGCCGATAATTCAAATTTTACCATCGATCCTTATGATTTATAAACATTTTGTCTTGAATGGCAAATTTTGGTGCCTTAAAATTTTATTCAGATTAATGGGATATGATCTGATTTTCATGGAATTTTCCAGAGTAACAGAACCAAGCTGAAACAGTGCATTATAGAAGGCTATGGTTAATCCAGTAGTCACATAATGCTATGTTGTGAAAATGGTCTTGGTTTATTTTAGCTTTCACACATAAGAAACAAAAGCCACATTTTGAATATCCTCATTAAAAACGTTTGGGTTGATAAAAAGCAATTAACAGCAAACATCACAACAGAGCATTAAGCAATGATTTAGGCTTACAGTTGACAACCAACCCTTTCAGAAAGAATTGTAGAAGCAATATCTTTGTTCTACAGCTTCAGATATTAGAGAACACAGTGCTTCATCAGAGTGATCCAAAGAAATTGAGATTTGGCTCAAAGGCCAACCAAGTTAATAATGAAGACTGACTTACCTTCTCTAGAACTTTATTACATTCTTGTATTCCTTAAGCTCTTTCTCTTAAAGATACAAAATTGGAAGTGGTGTACCTTAGTAGGAGTCCGAAGTCATTGAAATAATTGACAGAATATATCATAGTTTGATGCAGTGTGCCTATTATGATACCAACATATCACACAGACAGTAATGGGCATCTAATTCTGCCATTCTTAATCCCCATGCTAGGGAAGAAAATCTGTTTTTGAATCATTTAAAATTGGGGGGGGAAAAGATGGACTTAACTATTTAGATCTAATTTTGGAGTGGAAGGCTATCTTCAGTTATATAAATTATCCTTCTGAGCTCTAGTTCTTAATCCTATTGCATCCCACTTATTCTCTCATTTGCTGGCTCTTGCTGCCACACTCTCTGCTAAGCAGAAAACAAACTAAGTCAAGTCATGGTAGGGTGCCTTTTGTGAGGCCACTCAGAGTAAGAAGAAAGAAACAAAGAGCAAGATAGAGATGTAGAGAATTTAAAGAAAACAAATGAGGCACACACACAAGGTAAGGAGGAAGGAAACATCACTGGGCCAAGAACTGGAAATCACATAACCTTTAAAAAATTTTGCTAGTTAGTATTATCAGTCTTCCTTGTTTGGGAAGGTTGCCTTTATGAGATGGAAAATCAATTCCGAATTAATAAAGGCCTTTCTCTTTCATAAGCTCCTCCTGAAACTAAAGAAGGGCTAATTAAAAATCTGATGGTCTCCTCCTAATTACAGCTTTTACACATGCAGTATGGTCTTTTCTTTTTCTTTTTCCATCAGTAATGGTGCGAAAAGTGCTCTAATAAACTACTGGGGAGGGGGGCATACGAATTTAAGGTGTTTTTAAGGAAACCTTTCCACCTGGTGCATCAGCTCCTTCCTGAGGAGGCTGGTGTGGTCGGGAGAGGCCTAATCCAAGACCCTTCTATTTTTCCTACCAGACGGCCCGAGCACTCCTGCCACTGCTTCTCCTGGAGGTGGAGGTGAAAACCGGTCCGCATTGCTGCTTCCTAGCTCTCTCCTCTTCCCTTAATTCCTCCTCCGTATTTCAGGCACATTTCGCAATTGCCACTTGTTCCTGCTGCTTACTCTTTTCATGCCATCACACAAAGTGAACTCATCCTGCAGCAACCTTGTCAAGGCAGGGTAGTCCACTGGCCAGACCAGGGCGTTTGGGACCTTTTGGAGGTAGTCTCACTAGGATGTTACAGAGCCTTTCTCGTGGCACTGTGCTCCCTGGATGTAGAGTCGCCCCTCCACCCCTGTCCTACTGCACAGCAAGACTAGGGTTTTACAGCGTCGGGTCCTCAGCCCGGACCCTGAGGCTCGGTCTTCGCCAGGTGAGGTACTTGGGCGTGGGGCTGCCGCCACCTTTGGCACTCTGCCACCCTGGAGGCTCTAGCCTCAGGCACTCCCGGGCAAATAAATGGTGCCACCTGGTAGTGAGTCAAAAGTGGTGCTTTAAAATGCAAATACAAACCCCTCCTACACTCGTTGTCAAATCACTTCTCCACGATTCCTAGGCAGGCAGTGGATTCTACGCTTGGGGAAAGGCTGGGGGGAATGCTGCCTGCCGGTGCAAAAATAGCCCCCAAGACGCAAGCCAAGTGCTCGGCTGGAGCTTCTGCAGCCTGTGGATACCCGCTGGGCGGCTGGCTGTCCCCCGGGAGCCCCGCGGGGCCGGCTCCGCTCCCCCTCCGCACGCCGGGCGGCAGGAGCCAGCCGGCGCCGACTTTGGGAGTTCCTCTGCCTTGTATGGAGGGCTGCTCGGGCCCGTCTCCGCCCGACTGCTCTGAGGCCCAGCCCTCCCGCTGCCCACCCCCAGCCACCTCCCTCTGACTTGCCCGGAGAAGCCAGACGGAGCCTCTTTCCGCCACAAGTCTCTCCGCCTGCCGTTCCCCTATTCCTGCAGCCACCCCCACCCCCTCCCCAGTGCCGTCACCCTTCCTCCGCCCCCGCCCCCGCCTTCTCCACAGCAATCGGGGGAATAAATCAGGGAGGAAACGGAGAGAGAGCGAGAGCGCGCGAGCGCCCGCGGGCTCGCCCAGGTCTGCTTCCAAAGTCGCCCTTGATGGCGGCGGAGGCAAGGCAGCCTCGGCGCGGAGCAGCCGACGCGCGTTAGTGGGTCCGCCAGCCGCCGCCCCTACCCCTGCGTCGGGCTTCGCCCCTGTCGCCCCCTTCGCTGACCCACGCCCCGGCCCCAGGCGCTCCAGCCCGCAGACGTTCGCGGTCCGCACGGACCGTGCTCCTTCTCCTCCCGTGGTTTCCAGCACCGGTTCTTCCCCCGGCTGGGGTGGGAGGCGAGATTGATCTTCGATCGCGAAGATGGCTGCTGGCTGCCTGCTGGCCTTGACTCTGACACTTTTCCAATCTTTGCTGATCGGCCCCTCGTCGGAGGAGCCGTTCCCTTCGGCCGTCACGTAAGTCGCGGGGCCGGGCCGGCAGGGCGGGGAGTGCGGCCCGGGAGGTGCCGTGGAAGCTGGGCGCCGGTTCGGTTCCCGAGTTGCGGGGCTTTTCTGCCCGTGGGGGTGGGGAGCGAGCCGGGCTTGGATGTGGAGAGGCCGAGCGCGAGGTGCGCGCGGCTCGCTGCCGGAATGCGCACGGAACCGGCGTCTCGGGAGCCTCGGCGGGGCCGGGCTGTCCCGAGAAACGTCCACCGACGTCTCCTGGCTCCTCAGCCCATCTCTGAAAGGATTCCTTGGACTCACGGAGTTAAGCTGTACTGTAGGAAAAAGTTTCGAGCTATATACCCGCTCTCATCAAACCCAGTTCAATAAAAAGTTGTGTTTGGGTTCGGTATTTTGCAAATCGGTAATTGCAGGCTTGCCGAGGTAACGGGGACTTCTCCCGCATTTGGCCTCTGGGATGCTCTCTAATTGCTCTAGTATCCAAACTCGTTTACATCCCAAATTACTGGGCGCTCTCGACAGCCTTTCTGGTAGAAGAGTGCTCGCTCCTCGCACCTAGCTGCTGTCTACCCCAGGGGCTCGCAGGTGTTGGGACTCTGCCATTCTACCGCACTCACCCTCTATTAGAAACATCTGAGTGCCGGCAGACACGCGGTTCCTGTTCTTAGAATGAATACAACTTGTCCTTTGGCGGAGGGACCGAGCGTTTCCAGAATCTCCTGTAATTTTCTCTCATTTTTAACATTTCTAAAATAACTTTAAAAAACCTCGCTGCTGTTCTGGAAATAGAGTATTTAAAGGTAGCTATGGAATCACACGGCAGGAAGGGAATGAAAATAATTCTCTCAGGCTGGAAAAAAGAATCAAAGTCAGTGGCACATAAAAATGTATACATATTTTTAAATGCACTGAATAGCCTATCAGGCATTCTGGGAAAGCATTTATTTTGGTTCTTGAAGCTACTTTAAAGCTGCTAAGAGTAGGTAATTGTAAGTGGATGAGTCACTTTTAATGCATTTTACATAACAAAAACAAAGCCCAAGGTAGCCTTCCCGTATTTTTGCTGTTGGGAATTATTTGCTGTCCTTTGTTGGCTGAGTGCAGAATACAGGAGTTTTTGGTGGGTACTAACTACCAGTCTTTACCAATTGAAACCCTGCAGCTATTATTTAAGATCCAGCTTAAAGTATTTATTACCTTAGATGTCAGTGCAAGAATCCAAAGGAAGCACATTCTAACCCGGAGAAGGGGAGTGTCTGATATTTTTTGTCATTGATTTATAGTCATGTTCCTTTTTAGATAATCTTCCATAAAAACAATTACAGATCCTTTTTGTTATGAAGGAAAAGAGTAAATGCCATCTGTAGATCTTCCTTTAATTGGCAGGATGTTCCAAGCAGATGTATTGAAACATGAAAAAAAAAAAGAATTATACTAAAGATGCTTCAAATTTATTCTCTCTTATTAAGAAATTACACTTAATTTTTTTAGGCTTTTTGTAGCATGGCCTCTAAAGCAAGAACTCAAGTGAGTCGCTTGCATTTTGTGTCAAAGAAGTAGCTCTTTAAAAAAGAGTCAACGTGTCTGGTTTACACATTTTCAGAGTGTTATTTTTAACTGCCAATTTATCAATATTTCTATCCTTTGGAGGGAATGTATCATCACACCATTGGGGAAAACTATGACTTCTTAAGATAAAACAAAATACAATCTTTTATTTCTGAACAGACCATGGTAAAATATTAATGGTAAAAATCCTTAATTCTCAGAAAGACATCTGCAATAAATGCTTTCCTAAAATTAAAATAGCTCAATTTTCATGATCAGAAATTCTCTAAAGCTAAAGAAAATAAATAGTGGGCAAAAATAGGAATTAGGAAGCCACGATTTCTTTTCTTTGAAAGGACTTGAAATTTGTTTTTAACAATGAAAATTTAAGGTATTTTTGAATAATACGAAACAGTTATTTTGTAAAAAAGAGATTACTACTAGATTTTGTAGGGCTTAGTCAGTCTCTTATAGGAAATACCAATATTTTTGTAAGGCTTCTGCATCTTTAATTATTTGAAAAGTTAGTAACTCCATCTTCAGAGGAGAGAAATGATAGTTGACATTTGTATTTCATCTTCAATTTCTGAATAAACTTTATGAAATTAAAAAAAATGCAGCGTTAATTTTACCAAGATGCAGTGCCATTTGCTTTTTCTTTCAAGAAAAGAATTCATATGGAGTATTCATCAGGATAAATCTCAAGTATTTTGGAAAAATTCCAGGTTCATAAAACTCAGTACAAAGATTATAACATCACTAAAGGTAAATTATTTTACTTCTATATGTACATTTCTGAGAAAATAATTAGTAAATTCTCTTTAGTATTTGATCATTTTATTTTTCCCAGGAAAAGTAATATAAGAAGTTTTTATCATCAGATGAGAAAGTATATGTCACTAATACAGTATAAAATTCATTATGCACTCATTGGAATGGGACCTGAATTAGAATTAGTCGTACTAAATTTTTTGTTTGTTTAGAGTGTTTACAATCATATTAAGGGCTTAAGTATTATAATAAAATAAATAATATATCATTCTAAATATTTTCTTTAATTTTTTCTGGTTTAACATAGTAGTTAAACTGTAAGAGTTAACACTAAAATAACTGGTGGTTTTTTTTTTTTCGGACAAAGGAAGAAATTTTGATAAAATTCTTTTGCAAGGTTAGGTTTTTCTTTGGGAAATGATTGTTTCAATAATGTGTGAAACATAAATATGCCATATGATAGCAACCACCTAATGCATGTTGCTTTGTATGTAAGTGGAAAATACATCATTTTAATGTTAAAGTATGCATATGTTATGTTGATGGTTTAAATTGTAGTTTTCTAAAAGGGAGTTATCGCTTGTTCTAGAAATAATTTCTTGGCACATACGTGAAGGCACGTCTATTTTAAAACTCAGGATAATATGTATGGTAGCCAGTATTGTAATGTTAATTTAAATCTGTCCCTCCTAATTTTAGAATCTATTTACAAATTCAGTTTTTAAAAAAGCATGTAGTTATAACTGCTGTTCTTGTTAAACTTTTATCTCAGTCACATCAAAATGCCAGTCAGTCTAGAATAATTGGCTGAGAGCCCATTGGTATATGGGGATTTTAATATAAATTACATAATGGGATAAATATATTAGTAAACTACAGGAAATAAACATAGCATCTCGTAAGAGAATAGTACTTTTGTTTTAACTAATTAGGATATAAATCTTTTTTTTTCTATTATTAGACACATTTATATTTAAAGGCTATAGAAAATAAATATATCTATGCCCTAACATTGGAGTGGATATCTTTTTCATGTATTAGAAGTGATATAATTATTCTCATCTGGGCTTAGCAGTTTCTATTCACATAATACATACAGAAGGAAATGTGCCTTATGATAAAATATGAGATAAAGTATTAAATGTAAACTAAACCCTGAAAACAGTGAACATTAATAAGTCCCTTTCTCAGGTCTTGGATTTGTTCTCATCAGCTTAACATGACAACATTTATTATTCCACAGGTTTATATCTACTGTTGCATATTTTAAGTAAGTATTTATAAAAATGCAACAGTAGATACATTTTTCCTGAAGAGTAGTAACATGATATTGCATTTATTAATGTTTGTATATGAGTATATGTGTAGTTTGGATTGGCATCTGAGTGAGCATTAGGCAGACTGAAATGGATATAATCTAAAAAAAAATTTGAAAAGCTATAAGAATCTAAGCTTACTATAGTTTATAAAAGGAAATAGAATGTACTTCTATTTTTTTCCTATGGCTTTCACAAATTTAGTTTAATAAATACATGTAAAATCAGATAAACTATAGGAAGTTCATTTTGAACATAGATAAAAACATTACCGCTCTTTCTTCAAGGAAACCTTGCTGGGTAGACACCTTTCCAATATTTTGCCAACTTTGATAAAAATACTATCATAAAATGCTCTTCCTTTTTGAGTTTATACATGGTAAGTTTTTGCAGAAAAAAGTAACACATGCAAATTATGTACTCAGATTTACTGTTTATGTTTAGAAGTATATGTTCATAAGAAATAACATATTTAGGATCTTAAAAAATAATACAAAAATTGTGCCCGTAACAAACTATATTACTTAATTAATTTTTCTCTAGAGTATCGTTATATATAACACATACACAGAAATTTCTGTTCTCTTTATTTTTTAATATAAATGAAAATATCCAAGAAAGTAATTTGTTCTGAATTCACAGACTGTCTTTAAACTGTTTATAACCTTGAAGTGGAGATTTACATGGTTAAAATGAAATATATTTTAGGCATTTTGCCCAGTTGGTTTATTTTCTTCAGTGTCTTAGATGGATGGTTAGAATCAACTCTAACATGAATATACTTAGAAATTTGGGGAAAAGAATCAGAATTTGTTGCAGTATTTCTACAGAGTTACATTTTATTGTTCTTTAAGTGACAGCCTTCCATCATTTGTAATAAAGGAGCTATCTGTGCTAGTATTTTAAAAAGCATGTAAGCTGCTTACGATGGGGAATGACCTGTATTCTATTACATCTATTCCACATTTATGTAAGGCTTACATTGTGCAGCAGGCACTGTCACACTGTGGCAGCCAGTCCTTCTTTTCATGGACTGTCGACACCTAGTACCACAACTGTTCCCAGGCCTTTGACACATTTTTTTCCAGTAGACTTGGAACTGTGCTGGGATGGCCAGCCATGTACCTTACACATGGTTCATGTTTTGTGTGTACAAAATATGGAAAAGATTGTGTCATACTGTTTACAGAGTTGAAGGAAAAAGGTGATTGACCTCAATGTCAATTGAAATAAAAATGGTAGCACTTTGTGAAGAATACTGTGTTTACCACCTTTCCTTGAGGGTCCAAAATATATTAACGTTGCATAATTAGATAATTTGTCAGGTTGATCGTATTGTGGTATTGTATTAAATAGATAATATTGTATGTGTCTCTC